AATGCTTACTCCTTCTGCCCAAAAGGTTTTTGGAAGATCTTTCTCCATTAGCATAGCTCTAGCTGTCTCCATTACTGTTCTATTCTTTCTTTCTGACGCGCCATTTTGTTCAGGTGCGTATCCAACGATGAGATGATGCTCCATCCCTTCATCTTCACCAAACTTGTTGAATATATTCGATGTGTATTCTTTACCTTTGTCGCTTCTGATTGTCTTGATATTGTGACCACTTTGTTTTTCAACATAGCTTTTGAACCTTTTGAAAATCTCAAAAACTTCGGATTTCTTCCGCAAAAAATATACCCATGTCATTCTACTATAATCATCTATAAAGAGAATGAAGTACTTGTTTTGCTCATGTGATGGAGTACGCATCGGACCGCATAAATCTGTATGTATTAACTCCAACGGCTCTTTGGCTCTCCAGGATTTCCAGATGGAAATGGTTGACGATGTTGTTTCCCGAGCAAACATCCTTTGCAGACTGCGTCAATTTCCTTTATGACTGGTAGATCTCTCATCATGCTCTTTTGCTGAAAGATCTTCAAGCCGTGAAAGTGGAAGTGTCCAAATCTCCTGTGCCACAGCCATGACTCGTCGACTTGTGCTGTTATTGCTACATTGTTTGCGTATCTCCATTGGATTGGAAAGCATCCGTTCTCCCGCTTTTTGACTTTTGCAATTACAAGAGATTTATCTTTCTTATCATAGATTGTACAAGAATCTCCTTCAAAATATAAACTGTATCTTTTCTCCATCATCTGACCTACACTTAGTAAATTTTGATCTATTGTAGGGACGAGGAGAACGTCATTGATATATCTCTTGCCCTTTTTCGTATCTACGGCAATAGTGCCTTTGCCTGTAGCTTCTATGAAATTTCCATCGCCAATTTTTATTTTTGTGTTTATTTTATCAAGATTGCAAAAATTACTTTCATCTTTCGTCATGTAATTACTGCAACCACTATCTAAATACCATGTATCTATTTTTTCTTCAGATACATCCTTATTGGAGGCATATAATAGATTTCCTTCTATATCCTTCTTTTCTGAGAAATTAGCTAGATAATTTTACTTAAAACGACAAGATTTTTCTTCATGTCCAAAGTTTTTACAGCTACGACACTGTGGTTTACCTTTAAACCAACAATCCTTTTCCAAATGACTTTTTCTTTTACAAAAGCCACATGGAGGATACTTGCCATTAATTTCTCTTCCTTGAGTTTCTTTATTTTTAGAATTTTCTTTAAATTTTTTCTCCCACCTTCTTTAGATTTCTGAAACCGCATATTAACTTTAGATTGAAAAGCGTTTTCTGTGTCAATTTCATAACGCCTTTCTAATCTTTTTTCATGAGCTTCCGATGAACCTATTAATTTTGCAGCTGTTAATTTATCTATATCTTTAGACTCATCAATAGCTGCAATAATTGAATCATATTTTTCTGTTCAGGTAATTTAAATTTTTCCTACAACTTTCTTTTCAG